TTCCCTACAATGCTTTTCACTAGCGGTTTAGCTTCTGCTACTCCTTCTGTGCCCTCTTCAATTTTTTTTTTGTTCTTAGCATTTTGGAGTTCTCCCACATTTTCTGCCTGTGATTTTCTCCAGTTATGACTCTTGCAGTTTAATAACGTTGCTGCTGAGCTAATCTGGGGGCTGCTGAGTCACTTTCACCTGTGTTTGACAAAGCCTCAAGCGAAGGTGCCCGAGATGTTTCTTCCCAAGGTGCTTTCTGTTTGCAGACCTTAACTTTTCAGGACCTTAGCTTTTTGAAGTTACTATTCACCAGGAGCCTCCATAAAGTACAAGCATTAAGTAGTGTTTTGCACAGTCACTTTTACAAGAGTGGTAGCCTGATCCCATTTGCCTTCTCATTTTACTGATCAACAACTATACCAAAACTAGCATTTTTTATTCTTAATCTTCATTCTTTTGCTCTTTTAAAGACTTTGAAGATTGTTTCTTCATATCGTAGCTGTACATAGTTCTTTCTGTTAAAATGCTCTATTAAAAATTACTTTTTGTTGCTATTTGAATATTGTGGTGCCATACGTGGGAGAGAATCCAAAAAATGCTCTTCTCTGACACCCACCCATCACAATGGAAATGAGCAGTTTAACACAGTAAATTTAATCAATCACAGACAGATGTACTAACCTAATTGCTGTTTGTTTCACTAACAGTTGGAAATTCTCAAAATGTAGATATTTTGAATATATTTCAGTATCTGTTCTTTCATTTTTGTGACTTTCCCCTCTTGGCAGAGAGTACACAGTTACTAGTTGTCTTTCTTCACTCCAAATTTCTGTCATTATCCAATGTAACCAGCAGTTTCCTTACGCTAATACTCATTGTTCTCAGTATGGCTGCCCTTCATACAGCTTCTCATTTCATGGTAATCACACAAGATCTTTTTCTTTTTAAAATCATGCTGTACCAACATGATAAAGAACCCAAAAGGAATCCAAGAAAAAACTCAGCTGAATGACACAAAAAGTAATGGAGCATCTATTTACCAGTTTCTATTCCCTGAAAACATTGATCATACAGGGAAGGATTGTTAATCACCATGTTACTTTTTTGTCTCATTTTTACTCCCCTTTTCCTTGTGACATATACATTGAGAGCAAAGTCAACTCTCTTCTAAGGTAGCAAAATTATAGTTGAATCCGTCTCTGTCCAACTGAATGAAATGCAATGTCTCACAGGCATCACTTTTCTTTCTAGAAAAAAGAATGTTTGTTTTATGTCTGGTTCTCGCTAGTTCAGATGTCATGATGTCTAATGGTAAGAGATAATCTGGAAAAAAATAAGCTGAAACGTTTTCACAACAATTGAAAAGTTCTTCAGAAACAAGGAAAGGCATATATGTGCCTCTTTCTTTGGTATTGCTTTGGTATTAAATATTCAGATCCCATCTGGTTCTTTACTCGTAGCCTACTTTGGAGAAATGACTAATCATCACAAAAATAAAAATGCACCTTTCATTACTAGCAGGTTTTGTAAAATACAAAATTTCTGTAGTATGTTTAATAAAGATGTATCTTTTTGTTACTGTAGTGGGTACATATACTAGAACATAGTTAAGTGTACAAGTGCAAAAGTGTACGCAATTTTACTCATCTCTGATCTCAAATTATGAGAAAATATAGAAATTTCTTATAAAACAATATTTCAGTGTGAAGAAAAAATCAAGCCAAACTTGCAATAGCTGCATATGAAGTAATCTACTCTGTTCACTTTGTAGTTCTAGAGAGTAAAGTTTTTACTCAGAAGGAATGCTTCCTTCATGATGTTGTCTATGACATTAAAAGAGAGTAACGTTACCATGCGGACTAAAACCTCACAAAATTGGAAAAGTTCTTCTGCTGAGTTAATGTTAAGCAACTAAACAGATGCCTACAACAGACTTTTCATAATGAAAAACTTTATAAATACAATTAAGTCTGTAATTTGAATCATTTTATGCACTATCATTAAATACAAAGACTCAGAAACAGAAAAGAAAAAAAAAAGGTTACTGCTCATTCTGTGGTTTCCTGCCAGTATATTAAAGTCTTTCAAAATGAGCCACGCATTTGTAACACAGACACTGTAGGACTGGGAAGCCTGTGGGATCAAGTGTTCCAAAAACCAAAATGGAAATGCTTATCTAGTTATGGAAAGCGGATGAAGCTATTAATTTCAACAATGTAGCATACTGTGTGCACACCTACGTCTCCCAAATGTAGGTAGTGAATATCTGCCAGCTTCAATTCATTTTTTTTAGTACATTGGAAGTTTCAGAGAAAATTCTGCATTTACTGAGGCAATAGTGAGATTCCACGAGATATTACATGTTTAAAAGATTTCCAGTGAGGTAAAAGCAGCAAGTTCATTAGGATAGTACAACACGTAGCCATAGACTGCATCAGAAATTTACAGACGTTCCTTAATATATTCATATTTTAGAGGAAAAAAAAAATCTTTAACCATAGAATCAAGTTTCAACTTGCTAGGAACTAGAATTACTTGGAAAGATTCATCTTTGATACAATTATTTTCCAGCTAGTCTCTCAAATATATTGAAACCAATCATCATTCCCAGCAGTGCCAGAACAGAGACTTTGAAGATCCCGAGACTATAAATACCCACATGCCTCCTTAGGTACTTGTGTGATCGGCCTGATTTTCCAAAATTACTTCAAACATAATAGGTTTCCTTGATTTTTGCTGACTATCTATAAATGTAAGCAGATTTCACTGGGAGACACAAATTGCTCAGTGGTTTGTTTTGGGGTTTTGGTTTGGTTTGTTTTTCAAAAAATACATAAACAATTTAGGTACCTCCACACCTAAAGCAAAGCATTCCTGTTTGGAAATCCAATCCTTGCCTTGAGGTGAGCTCCTTACCTGAGAAATTGACTGTCAAAATGAGAAGCTATACACCTAACATAAATGAGTCTGTACCACACAATGAGCAGGAATACCAAAGCAAAATATGTCTGCTTACCTTTGCTTTGCGAAAATGGTAGACTACCAGCATGCTTATGAAGTCCAGCAGCATACAGAGTGTTTGGAATGAGATGATAGCCAGCCGTAAATACTTGTCCTCCTGTGCATAGCAGGGAGTATCGTCTGTGCAGTTAGAACATCCCTCCCTGCAGGGTAGGCAGGTGTAGACTTCCTCCGACAACTCGCCACCAGGAAAGCGATTTTCTGCATCCTTTCCTGGAAGTATTAGAAGGGTAAGGGCAGACACCTTTAGATGTACAGTATGGGCACTTCATCTGTATGAGCAAATCAGTCCTGTGCTGACTCCCTTTCCCTCCCTGCTGGCCTCTTTCATTGAGTTACAAAACGGCTTGCCAGGGCTGCTTTTCTCATTCCACTCTCCTTTGTCATGTTCAGAAAATGCAGACCAATTTAGACATGAGGGAAAGTGAGCTTATTAAATGCCAAATGCTTTCCCATTGTATTTAAAGTGGGCTAAATCTATGCAGGGCATTCTTCGAAGGAGTCTTCTGAATGGGGAAAAAAATTACATCAAAGATTTGGGAATAAGGAAACGATTTTACACAGACACATGAAAAGCAGACCCATTAACTACTTAAAGTTCACAGAACAAGCTCTGATTCTATTTCAGATTGTTCTCAATTTCATAAAGATGCTATCCAGTGAATGAATTAGCTTCAAATTAGATAGAAACCTTCTTAATTAACATTTATTCAGCATACTGTTGCATGATTGCACTATTCTGTCCCCAAAGCAAAACCAGTGCACTTAATTTTCCATTGTTCACACAAGCACACCAGGAAATCGGGAAAACCTATTGGCAAGTTAATATTTTGTCTATGAAAATCAATTATTCTTGAGCTGACATCTCACCCATCAAAGTGAACCCACCATCAGAGCACACAGGAGGATTCCTACTTTTTCTGATCCACGAATGCTTGCCCATAACCCCCTGCAAGACTGCTTACTCTACAGGCAACTAATGGAATAAAAAGGTGAAAGAAAAAGGACGTGAAAAAGAATAATGTTAAATAAGAAGGAAAACTGAAAATATTTAATATAAGCAAGACAGGCTTAGGAGCTTCCAGAAACAAGAGAATGTGGCTGAAGCCAAATCAATGGTGTGTTAAAACCTGTGGTAACTTCTCTCACCTTTCACAAGACTAGAGAATCACTCCAATATCTTTAGTCAAAATTCTCCTCCTCTGTCAGTGAAAGTAGTAAATCATGCACTGTTTAGTCTTAATTTAAGAGACAGCCTATTGTACCAATGTTGCACATGCTTATTGGCTTATGAAACTCTCTTCAGACTTTTAGCTTGAAACATTTAAAGCAGAAGGTTATCTACAAGGGTATTTATTTCTTGCTTTCTCTAATCTATGTACGAATGTGCATGAGCACACATTTGCTGACAGGCAAAGTCTGGGAAAGCGATAAAGAGGCTGTACACTCAAGTCTGTTTATTTGGCATGCTTTTCCAGCAACCCAGTGCTCCTCATCCTCAGTGCAGGATTTCTCTTTGGAGCTTCATTCTAAACAAAGGTGTTGGCAACCTGAATGTAGCAGAGTAGTGTGGGCTCAAATTGGGAGCCAATTTCCTTAGATACAAGCAGACAGTAAGAAGAGATGTTGTGTCTTTTTGATCCAGACTGTGGGAGGCAGGAATGGAAATGCTGGGAAATAACGGCGCTTGGGCATCCCAAGAAGGCGGAGAACCTCTAAGGAACACTAATCGTGAAGATATCCTAGGACTGGAACTTCTTTTCAGTCCAAACACCCATAGACCTCAGGCCATTATCACTTCAAGAGCTTGTCTCCCACCTCCCATCTCATATTCAAATCAAGAGTGCATTACCTACTGTCCAAGTTTTCCACTTTCTTTCCTCAACATTTGCACTCATGTCAACCTACTTTTCCACCACCCACCTGTTCCTTTATAATTTCTGTAAAGAGTCGCCTTCGATTAACCCATCTCCAAACAGATTAAATACTCTCTTTAAAACATCACATTTCTAAGCCATGCATGACCCATTTGTTAGTGTATTTTTATTGTGGTAACGAAATAAATTCTTTTCAGTGTAAAAACTTAACCACTGAGAAAATATAATTTAAAACCTAAAGTTATGAGAGTACTTAAGTCACAAATATTATATGAATATGGTCTGATAATTTTGCATGGTCCTAAACTTGATATTCTTACTTTATTTCTGAAATGTTCAACCTTGAAAGTTGTTGCAAATACATTATAATCCACTTTATCAAGCATTCTCTTATGAGAGTCATGCATGGAGGTTTCTTCATGTCCATGCTTATCACACACTAGAGAGATAAGAGCCAATAAACAGTCGCATGTTGCAGTGAATATCCCAAGGACATGACCTCATAACACAACAGCAAGCCTTTGCTTAGATGTGTCTGGTGTCATGCTGTCTGCTGTATACAAAGAAAGATCATCGATATGCATCTACTGTGCTGCCAGCTATGATTGATTATCTGTTGAATATCTTGTGACTTTGAAATGATTCTTCATTATATCTAATATAAGAAAGACCCAACAAATTGGATCTACTTGAGATTTGACACAATGTGACAAGGAACTATTTACAATCTCCATCTTTTTGTTTTTTTCTCCTTGCCAAAAAGAAAGAACATTTTTCAGACCCTCTCACAGAAGTTCTTGGGAAAGAACCGATCATTGTATTTACCACTGACTGGGAGCTTGTTTAGCCACCCACACCCTTGCCCTGACTACGTGTCTCAGGGCACTGCCACCCACTGCGTATTTGAATGTTTCTGCCCTTTACGTCTGGTCCTGTCACCTCACCAAAGTCAGTGTAATGTCAATTCAAACCATAGACAGTCCAAGCCAAGCATGAAGTTACTTCCTCTTACAGCACTGCTAGAGATTTCACTGTGTCATACTTTCTCCTATCTCAGCAGCTCTTTGGGATTACACATGCCTCCTCCAGTGAAAAAAAAAAAAAAAAATTCCCCAAAAGATGGCAAAAGATTTTAAACACTGGTAAGGTAGAAGGACAAGAAGCCAATTCTTCTGTGTGTAAGGCAGCAGTGGTTTTAGCACTGACACAAATGGATGCAAACACTGGAAGACTGACTGTGCTGCAGGAGTTCAAATTGAGGATGAGAAAGGTGTAAAAAAGTACTATATTGTCCTCAAGGAAAAAAGAAAAGAAAAAATATAAAATGCATTAACAACAAAAAAACCAGGATGAAATGGAAGGAGAAAAGAATAAAGAATTGGTGGGAAGTAGAAACAGGGACACAAACTACTATGAAGTATAATAAGGAAAATGCTTGAGTACTGGAAAAATAAGACAAAATCTTAAATGCTTCAGCTATGTCCCCTCTACTATATTTTTTTCCTAGTTCTTCCCTCTTCTATCCCAGTCTGACTTTTCTGTCTGATCGGCCCATCTGTTTTTGAAATGGTCTCCTGAGGGTAACTCTTCATCAGCTTTCGTTCTCCTAAGCTATGCCAGGGGTGCCTCGGCAGCTGCGGCATCGCCAGCTGAGATCTTCCTGCCAAGTAAGAATGGCACCACAGACTGCTAAGTGCCAGGACAGGGACTGCTACCATCCCAAACAAAATCATCTCAGACCCCAGTCAAAACTCAGCAGATGAACACAAGAGAGCATAGCACATGCTGAGCAGAACAAAAGATTGATTCTGCTCCTGTTCTATTACAGCATAAATTAGGAACAACACCAGTAGCATCAGCGATGCTGCAGTCACTCAGTGTGTGTGACTGTAACCGGACCTGCTAAGCATCAAAACCTGGTAATCAGCCAGGGGCATAATCCTCACCCCAGAAAGGGATCACTGAAGTCAGGGACAGCCTTCATACGTGCAAAGATCTGCACGTGCAAGTTCTGTTGAAGAACCTAAACCAAAAGGCAGGTTTAAAAAATGGGAATTCCCATGGAACTGGAAACCCCTCTTGGGACTTTTTATGTGATTATAGCACTGTTAGAGACAGTACAGTCCCATATCCAAACAAAAGAGGCTCTTCTGGTGCAAGCACCTTTTTGTACAGGGCAAGTTCCACATCCAAACAGCAAGAGCTGAGCAGAATCTCTGCAACATATGGATGATGCATTGCTAAAGAATGGAATTTTAGGTTGAACAAAGCACCGCTGTTCTACTGAGGATCTTCTAATGCAAACCTGATCACCCCATGAGGCAGACAACATAAACACTTTGGAGAAGGGTCTTACAAAAATGTTAAAATGTACAGAGACACAAACTGTAGTTAGCAGTTAATCTATTCTACCTATACTAATAGTGCTACCTAAAACTGAGCCATTAGGAGAAAGTACATAATTATGTATTCAAGCACTTGCAGGTTAATGCAACTTGCATACATGAAATATATCTTTTTCTAACACCAATTTCTGTCCTCAAAAGAGACCCTGGAAATACAGCAATAACTTTGTGCCCCACTAGTACGCAGGGTAGCCACAAAAATAAAAAGGTTTTACATATTTTGCCACTGTCAGTTCTGAAGAACAAACTCAGCCTTGGGAGGGAAACAGCCTCCTACCTGGCTTCCTGTTCAGTAAGAGAAGAGCCTAAATTTCAGCCGTGTCCCTGTCCCACACCCACTTTGGGAACCCGCAAGATAAGCTGTGCAACCTCCTTGCGAAAGCAACAGAGGGCTGCTTTAAGTCAGGAAAGCAACTGATTTGCAGAATCTTTCCTATGGAGGACACTGTTTATGCAATATTGCATCTTGGTGTCCAGGACCCCAGCTGAGTTTGCAGAGGAGGCAGATAAGCAATATTTTAAGCCTTCCCACCAGCAAACCATGTAGAGTGTCCAATATCCCTGCAAAGCCATTTTATACAGCTATCTTTCAGACTCTACCTAAAACATTCATCTGGACCTAAAGCAAAACCGTGTCCCTGCTTAAAAGCCTGACACTTCAGGTACAATGTGCAACTCTAGTTAACCATACTTTGCTGCGATGCAGAGTCCCAGTATCATTGAGAAATGCTCCTGTTTCAAGACATAACCCATTCCATCAAATTTTTCAATCCACAGAAGGACAGAACTGGTCCTTTCTTTCTTTCTTTCTTTCTATGTATCTATCTATCTATGTATCTATCTATCTATCTATCATCAACCTACCTACATCTTATCTTGGGACCTGCAAATCTTTCCTGCCTCTCTATTTTCTTCCCCTAGGAATACTTTATAAACAATCAACATTTCTACTCAGTTTCATCTCTTTTAACATCAGACTTCACCAACCTATATCCACAAAGAGATCTTCAGGTAAGACAGTTTCTGTCAAAACTGCTTGCAGGATTCATGTCTAGAATTCCTGTATTAGCATCATGTTAACTTCCACATACGTACTAGAGCTGGTTTAACCACATCATCTTTTCCTTTTTACAGCATGAAGCTGGGTGACAGGGCAAAGTTCCCTTGAAACGCTGGTTTTCCTCCCATTACTTCCCAGTCATTTCCAGTCTCACACTAACTGTCTCACTGTTCATTTTTTGAAATCACCTATAAAGCTTGGCAGATTGAGCTGCATCTGGATAAATTAAAGCAGTTTTTTATTACTGACTGTTTCAAAACTCATGTTTATGTTAGCTTACAGTAACACACGCCCAAATCAAAGTGGCCCCACATCATGTAATTACACTCCCTAAAATATCAGCATATGCAAACACTTTCAGGAGACAAATTTCGCTCTATGTTAGCTATTTAGGAGCTAAATATCCAATCTAAGGTAGCTATATAGGCTCCTCCTTCTGTAGTAAATGGAGAAAAAAGGTTATTTGCCTGAAGCATTGTTCTTCCCCTCTAAAGACAAATTCTGCCTTTCTAAAGCAGCAGAATTACCCTCCAGGGGAGCCACGCTCTCACTGCTGACTGCAGTTGAAACCTAGGTGACTAAGACACGCATATACATTTCAGACAGCTGATATGAGATAAAATGAATCTCATCCCTAATGATCCCTAGTGCTGTTATGATCTCTAGCCACATTATTTTGTGTGTTCTGTGGCATCTGGAACGACAAAAATCTAAGAATGATCTTTTTTTTATATGTTCATTCAAGGAGTTAAATCCCAACTCCACCGTTACTCACTGCACTGCAGGAATAACCAAACATCATCCTTAATCTACCAAAAGATTCACACAGCCCAGAGAAAAAGCACTATCTCAAGGCTGCCTTCTGCGACACTCCACAATATGAAAAGAGAAGGGGAACAAACACTCACGAGGTAGACTGTTGAACAAACACACTGTGCTATTTATGCTACATGTATAGAGACGAGGTATGACATATATACGAGATCTACTGAGTTAGGGGTAAGATATCTTGGCCAATCTATATCCAAACGAGATCAAATCAATAAAAAACAGGCCAACCCATGACACAGGTTAAAGTATTTAATATCTGGAACTCAGAGATGCGAACGAATAGGGAATTATAAAGCTTTCCTAATAGTAAAAGTTACTTACCTTTCATCTACAACCCCTGCCACTTTTTATGTAAGAAAGCAGAGCTCATGAGTAACCAATATAGGAAGGAACTTGGAAGCTTTATTTGCACCTCTTGAGTCCACACCAAATAATTTATTTAACCCAATTATCAGGTACTCTGTAGCATGGGGGCATGCTCTTACAAGTACCGTGCCATATAATCCTGCACATGATTTACCAGAACAAAACACCTGAATCTGTATCTGTGAGTATCACAGAAGTGCACACTAAGCATTAAATACTACCAGAGGTATTTCTACAGTGGAAAAGGAACAGCTATGTTCACACAAGGCAGGAGATAATACACATGGTCCTGGACCAAGCTTGGTGAAAGCTACTCATCGTCATTCCCTGGGCATCTCATACAAACTGCTCCCGCAGGAGAGAGCTGAGGACATGAACCTTTTGCTAAAGGATGGCGCGAAGAAGCTGGGGATGGTATTCACTCAAAAGCTGGAGGCAGAGATGCCCTGTTACTCCTTCAAGCAACACCTTTAGACCTGTGACTGCAGCATGAGCTCTACTAGTGTAACTGCAGCAATTTCGGCACAAAATCTGTGCAGAGATTATGCTTATGTACACTCCCTAAATGCACATATGTACATATGATGAAAGTAACAGACGTCAATTCTGGGCACGCAGTTTATATATTTTCCCTGCTGAGTATCAACCAAGTTGTGTTTCCCTTACTGGGGACAACTCACTCTAAGTACCATACGACATGTGTCCTGGGCAAGCATAAGCTAGCTATATGTCATCCGCGTCGTACAGCCAACCAGACTCTCAGGCTTGACCCACCTCCAATACCTCATCAGCAAGTATTAAGAGTTTGGATGCTCCTTTGGATTCTCCTTTGCAAATGAAGTAAAATGAAAACAATTAAAGCCCGCAGAAACCCAGAGGCTAGGGCATTCTAGTTTGCCCTGACCAAAGAGAAAATTACTAGATTAATTTCCTCAATACTTGTGCTTGAGCACAGATGCCAGAAATCTCTATTTCCCCATAGCAAGGCTTCTTTTCATGTTTTTAAATTTATTTACAAATCAAATATTCTTCAAGCGGGTATGTTTTACAGGATCCTCAAGAGTACCGTGAATGACAAACCAAAGGGCCAGAACTCCTTAAGTGATTATATAATCCGAGACTTGCAAACCACTGGGATTTTACTGTATAACCCTGATGAGGATAAAAAGGAGCCCTGTATTATTAATGCTAGCACTGTTTTCTTTTTTCTTTTTTTTTTTTAAACTCAAGCAAAGGCACTTACTCTGAAAGCTCTTCCCTGAGAAGATGTTGGGATGATAGAATCCAGCTTTGCAAATACATTTGTAGGCTCCGAGCACAAATCCAAGGCCTTTAATTGGCATGCACTGTGAGAAAGAAAAAAAAGAAAAGTCATGCAGATGATCATACAATGATATATTCAGATGTACGTTCAAGCATAAAAACATTACAAGACACTCTGAGCAGACTTCTAAGAATAAACAGGTGCCCCTTGCAGTCTGACAGCATTTTCTCAGCAACTTTTCCTGTAGTCATGTATCACTCCAATTTTATTTCTTCTTGCTCATCACCAGCAAACAGCAAAGACTATCATCAACCCCATCCCACTGATCAACCGACCAAGTGCCAAATTTGACTCTTGTGCTTTAGCTCTAGGTAGGACACCAGACGGCTGTGGTTTTTTTCCTGGAGAGTTTCTAGCACTTTTCCGCAGCAGAGCTGGTGGGGTTCAGACAGCTGGAGCTCACGCTACGCGAAGGAGAACATGGACACCTGCAGCCGAGCCACCAACCTTCTGCAGGCAGCACATGCTGGTGCTGGTGCTCCCACCACACTGGTGACCCTACCGGAGTGGAGACTGACCGGGCCAAAACAAAGCAAATAACTCATTAGAGAAAATGGTTGCAGACCTAAATCTGACCTACTAGGGGAAAGAGAGCAAACCTACGCAAATGGGAGCCCCATACATCTAAGTTCTTGTGTTGGGTTTGCACGGCAAGGTTTTAGAAGCGGGGTGGGGGGCTACAGGGTGGCTTCTGTGAGAAGC